TACTTTTATTGAACAAGATGGATAACTTATCGTTGTCGACGATCGCTCAGAAATACGGCAGTATCGATAAAATCCGTCAAGATATCAAACGGAAGTTAAATACCATTCGCACCGGAGAGGCGGACGCTCAGGTGACGTTGAAGAAAGTTTTCAAACCGTTGACAGATCCGCTCGCAGCGTTGCAGAAAACTGTGTCGACATCGTCAACTCCCGCACTTGTTGCTGCTCCTCAGGAAAAGAAAACCAAGATCGAAGCTTCAAAATCGGAAACGAAAGATGGAACAACGTTTGTTGATAGTTTATTCGCTTCGTTCGGATCACCGAAAAATATAAACAACGATGATGATGAAGATGATGACGCTTCAAAGGAGGATGATGATGATGATGATGATGATGATGAATCGTTCCAAGATGCAACGGGTAAAGAACAAACAACGAGTCGCACAGAAGACGACGACGTCGATTCTCGAAACACAATCACTGCCCCGCACGTACAGTTTTACTTGGACGATCTGGAGAAACAACCGAAACAATCCGATACCACGTATGGTGTGCGGAAAGCGATCAATGGAAACTATCTTATCGGAAACCGAACCATAAGTTTCGATTCGGACGGACGACTAATCTTGGACGGTGGCGACGAGGTGTTCGAACCGACACCCGGGTTCTTGGAGCTCATTTTTAAGAAACATCCGCGTAATTACACAGCCGATGATCGTGCTAATTTCCAACGAGTAGTTACGCTCACCAATGCGCATTGGAGGAATCACCATCCACACGGTAGACCCAACTCGAACCGCAGTCAAAAATACCGCGATCTCATCAAACCTTTGTTCGCTACATCTACTCCGAGATCAACGAGGAAGTCATCGCGTAAAAAACTGAAGAAAGGCTCCGGTATGAAAATTCACCGTGCGAAACGGGAACTCGTCTATTGGGACGATCCGAACGAGTTGGTCCAACGTCTCGTTTTACTTGTAGCTTCGAAACAAGCTGGTCACACCGATCACG